CCTAATATTATGACTTTATTCTCGTAATGTTACGACTTCATTCTCGTAGACCTAATATTATGACTTTATTCTCGTAATATTACGACTTTATCTCGTAATTTCCTAAATAAATAAATAAATTCTCTTAGTATGGCCCTAATACTCCATCGTAGTATGTTGGTGTCAGAGTTGGGAGGGTTACTTTAAAAATGTAATCCGATACAGTTACTAATTACCTGTAAGAAACAACATTAAAATAACATAACTTGATTCCTTTCCGTTACTTTTGGATTACCACAACACTAAACGCAGTATGCAAATAAATACAAAGAAAATAAATATCAATAAGAAGTATTGATGCAAGACAACAGAACAGTGTAACCTTAGAAAAGGAAATGAAAATGAAAGTAAAATGGAAATATTTTAGAATCAACAAGTTTTTTTTAAAAAACAACTGACGCTAAAATTGAAATTTTATTTAATTAAAATTGTAATCCTGCAAAATAATCCTATTTTTTATTAAATGTCAGTGTTATTTGATTACACCTACTTTTTTGTATCCTTAGTTACATGTAATCTGTTACTCCCCAAGCCTGCATATTGTACAGACTGTACCACAACTACAATGCAGAACACACTGCACAGCAACCACTAAATGATGTTGTAATAATATTCTATATGCAGAGCAGAACTGAGGCAAACTGGACAACCCTAGACCCCCAGTCTAATTAACTATAAATATCTAAATATCTGTTTTTCCACATTACAAATCATATTGTTCTTGTTAGAGACCCTATTTTTGATTAAATACTGTATGAAAGCACCAGTTATCAAAGCCAATATATGTATATGTATGAATATATGTATGCATGCATGTGTGTAAATGTAATGTAATGTAACTGATCAATATCCAACTACAATCTCATACTCCAAGGAACGGTGGCTTTGCTGAGAATAAAGACATCTCCGTTTGTATTTTCCTCTTTTTATGTTTTATTTTTTCCCTCATCCTGTAGAGAGGTCCATTACACATCTCTTCAGATCTGGGCGTGTACTGAAACATCCATCCCACTCATCCCTCTGCCACCCCTCACCACTACAGGGCAATCACTGTAAACATCATTTGAAGAAAAATCAACTCTTCCATCACCAGCTTTATCATCAGGGAAAAGTTGTCAGCTTGTTTGTTATCACCTTGTTGATTAGAACAATGTTTTCAAAGTCAGGAGTACATCAAATACAGTACAGGCTAGATGCAACTAGAGTTGTGCATGCATTGATTTCATGTGTGAAACAGACTGGTAGAAGTGGCGGAGGGCATTACTTCACTGTCTCAACATGAACAGAATGACGATGAAGATGAGATGATGGTCCTGAATGTCCTAATCTACAAGATAACAACAAAAAAGAGCTAAAATATTGAGCTTAAAAACACAAATATAAACACACAGGTTGTGTGAAAGTATGAGAAATAAACATGCAAACATAAAATACATATTTCCATATACATTAATATTATACAAGGGAGATATACAAATAACAGGAGATGTGAAACTAATGTTAACAGAGATGCTGTGCCTCTTCAGCTAAGATGAGTTGTCACTGTGGGCAAATGATGAACTAAACACACTACTGCCCTGCCAAATCACACACTGGTATGCTGCAAGGAAGGAATTCTGGTTCCCTGGACATTTATTCCCTGCTGCGTTGGTTTTAAACGATTTATTTCCCGACAACACCTCCCCACATGCATCAGACTTCCACAAATTGTGATGAAAATAGTAGAAAATATTATTAAAGGTCGGTCGAAACAGAGGGAAAAGAGGGCTATCTGATGATTAACGTTATCCCACTGAAAGGTTAAGCTCAGCAATGGCAAGTTGGTGTCCAGTCTCTACAGAATTCAGGTTTTGTATTTTGTATGTTCGGCGTTGATGGACAAGCCTCTGAGGTGGCGAAAGAGGCGTCGAAGCGCATGAAGTGGGAACCCACCCGCTTCATGGGTTTGACACTTAGAACTCAATTTGAGGCTTCCTTGCTTGCGTAAGTTTCAGGTTTTGTCCGTGAGAAGAACAGAAAAAGAAGAGGAGAGGAGAGAAAAAGAGTAGGACAGCAAGAGAGAAGAAAGAAACAGTGCAGGTCTAGTGAGACTCAAATCAAAAGATCCTAAACATGAGCAGATGTGTGTGAACTGCAGAATCAGAAGAAGAATCTGGAGAAAGAGGACAGAAAAGTGATTTTTTTTTGTAGATTGTTTTTCTCTTTTTCCATTTTTTGTGTTTGTTACAGGTCATTATGGTAGTTTGTTTGGAATAGTTCAATTTAAAGCTAGGAGATGGAGCCTGAGGCAGATGGTTTGAAGTGCATGGATGTTGCCTGTAATCCTCAGAGGATTGCAGGGAGATGCAGGAAGGCTCAGATGATGCCGTATTGGGCCAGCTCGTGCAGCTCCAGGTGATTGAAGGCCTCCCATGGGCAAATGACGGTGATGTCTGCACAGAAAAAAACGACAGAGATATGAGGTTTTTCAGGGTGCGGATCACAGAAACTGATGTGAAGCACATTTTAAAACCTACAGTGAGCTCACCTGTGCCTAAGCCCTCCATTCCAGGGATGTCATCACCAAAGCTGCAAAGAAAAAGAAATTACAAACCAAATCTTTCCACTATTTTTAAACCTCTAAAGGAAAACATGTGCATCATTCAAGGCATACCCCTGGATTCCCTTCTTCGGAGGCTTGCTCTTGAACTGACGGGTCTGCCTCTGCTTGAACTTCGGTGGTCCCTTGCGAGGGGTAGCGGGGCCGCCACTGACGCGGGTGGCCGATTTGATCTCAGCTTTCGGAGCATCAAGATTCATTTTGAACAGTTGTGGTACCTGTGTTCAGGCTGCTGGCTTAAGAGACACCTCTCTAACGTGTAGTCGTCGTGATGATATCTTTTTAGAAAGAAGAAAACAAAAAGTCAGGAAATTCAACGAAAACAAGGGAATGAGCCACTTTTAGAAGTTTAGTCCCTTTGTTTGCAGAAGCATACAACCTAAGACACTTTATTTAACCATTCATTTCATGTAACAGTCAGCCTGCAGCCTCTGTCACCTCTATCTGACATTACAGTCCTTAATCCTCTTATTGATAACAAGACCAGGCGGGATTTACACTCATATATTTCCCAGCGATTGAATGTCTGAGATGGGCTACCTTGCAGCATGTTCTGTGGGGATGACCCAATTTTCCCATAATCCCTAGCTCAAGTTAATAAGTACTCCCCCTCCACTCTCTGTTTCAAGCCGGCCGTCCACATGTAATCTCGTTAGAGCAAGGACAACACGGCAGATATGCTGAGCGTGCACTGAGGGTCTAAATGATCAATCCGCTCACCGCGTCCTGATGACAATGATAGTCCTAAACCATTAATGTGGTCATAGGACTGCAGGGTAAACTTTGTTTATGTAATAGATACTGTGTAGTTTTATTTCAAAATAGAACCATAAAAGTGTTGACATGAGGAGTGTAAATGTATTTTAAAAAGGGTTGCTTTATCCAGAAATCCAATAACTATTGTATCTGTTTAAAGATGGTGCTACTTCAACAACTTATTAACTCATAAAATATCTTTAAAGTTTAAGAATTAAGAGTCTGCATATCGAAAAAACAACTTACAGCATTAACGATTACTTGATAGCAATATAGATATTACCAAGGGAAAATAAAAGTATCAGTTCCCAAACTCTTACGATATGTACACTATCAGCATACACACACACACAAAACATACACACACAACTAAATGTTTTAGTTAAAAAAATATTCTTGATTAAGTAGCTTTAGTCATTGTAAGTGAGAATAATTTTAATTTTGTAATTTTTGTTTGTACTTTGAATACCTAATAAAAAGTTATGAATCAGGAACTAAAAAAACTAAGTTTGTGTCACTTAAAATCTTTAAGAATCTTCTTTTAACCAAGTTTAGTTTCTGTTACTTAAACATTTTGACGTAATCAGTCTCAACAAATGTTTTTGTTAAATGAACTTATCTGGTTTTACAGTGTACACAGAATATTTTAGTTGAAATTATTTAATTATCTAAAATAGTATTTCTGAGCAGTCTATACTAAGTAACAAGTCCACCTAAGTACATCTAAAGTAAATGATCAAGTACTCTGTACATGTTTTTTTTTACTTTACTTAACATTACTTAAACTCAAGTGTACTACACTACATAAGCCTTTGTTAGCCCAGCATACAATACCTATTCAACTTTAGGCAATTGGTTTTCATGTTTTTTTTAATTAAGGTTAACTAATTAGAATTTAACATTTCAAACAATACCCAGCTCTGTTCATTCAGTAAGCTGCACACTTACTATTTTACCAAACAGAAAATCTACAGCACAGCTGATCCATCAATCAAAGGACAACAAACACGCCTCATAAACAAACTAAACAAGAACCTCTAAATACAATTTATTCAGTTTATGAGAGTTTTAAAAACTTCATATATTGTCAAAGAAGTACAACACCAGCAAAGCATATGTGCACAGCAGTCTGAGCTAGAGCCAAACAGGTGTAGGTCTACTTTTGTTAAATAATTGATTCCTTGTTTCCTCAAAGTGTTGCTTTGTATCTTTATTATCTTTATTATCTGCAACACAAGACAGCAACTTGACATTCACGTCACATTATGATCAACTAAACAAAGAAACTGTAAAACAAATTGTTCTCCTGAGACCTAAATCTCTTTTTTGAGAGAGCTTAAAATGGAAGCACCATCTATTGTTGTCTCAATTTAAAAAGTTTCCACCTTTTCGGTTCAGGTCAGATCACTTCAGCTCAAATAAATAACATCCACTGACTTCCATGCAGCTCCAGAATAACATCAATCACCCCCATCTTTCACATTGTTTACTACCACTATGTTAAATCCCACATATCTCAGTAATGTCTGCGGTGGTGGTGATGTAGCGGTGCGTCTACTCACCGGCTGCTTGGGTGAAGAACAGCCAGACGAGTCGGTGTGAGCGCAGCACTGGTCTGTCTAGCAGATGAGTAGAGTTCTATGCTAGGCTTGCTGTGAGGGCCAGTCGGGGCTTAGGGCCCCTCTTATATGCTGAGCCCCTGCAGAAGATTACCAACGCGCCACCTCCCTGCTCTAATGTCAACAGTTCATATGCATGACGTACACATGTACATGTCCAAACTCCATTTTAGTAATGTCACAGTGATGTGAGACGGGTCGTAATGTGGTTCAGGTTTGTCAATCAACTGAGATTAATGTCAGTTTTTAAACATTTTGTGCAGATTCTGGATGAAAATTTGTGATTTTAAACTAATTCTTTTACTTTCTGCATTTGTGATGAAACAAAGGCACATTTCATGCTCAAAGTGCTTCAGACAATGCAAGAAAAGAAAGAAAAACAAGATGCAAACTGATTATTTTGGATCTTATTTGTTTATTCCTATTGTTTTTGATTTGATTTGATTTGATTCTTATTGTTTAAGATATCTAAAACATGAAATAGTCAGACTTTAACGTTTGTCTCCAGAAAATTCAAGAAAGCACTGAGCAAACTAATCAAATTGTTGATTTGAAACAATAGGATGTGCAATCCTGGAATATGATGATGCAGATTATGGATGCAGCAGGAAGCTTCCTGAAAGTCCTGGCAGCCCACTCCTTCTTTGTTATGCAATCGTCTCACCATCTGCTGCAGGCAAAACCCTCCAATCCTCCATCCTGCAGAAGTCTCTTAGATTATCTTAATGTACGTTTCAGGGTAATTCCCTGCAGTGAGAGTGGCCTCCATTCAGAGCAATAATCCAACACCCACATGAAATCAATCACCACACTGCTAATCAGGACTTCTTCTTGGGTAATTCAGGTGGACGTACCCACAGCGTCCTTTTGCCTTAAAGAGACGCTGGAATGGTTTACTTCCATAAAGCTGGGATACTTACAAGAGACAGCTTTTAAAAAACACATTTAAAATGATATCCTGACTTTGAATGAGTCAAACCTCTTCAAAAACAAAGAAACTCCAAAATCTGTGGATCCTTCAATTCCCATAATGCAACTTGAAAGATTCTCTCATTAGTCCCTATTTGACTGGCAAATGCCCACAGCTTTCAAACTCCACACCTCCAGTCTGTGAGGCAGGATTTACACAAAAAAGTTGCATTTTACAAGACCTAGAAGAAATGTTTTAACAGTAATTCCCCTTTTTTGCCAACACCTAAAACAGAAAGTCTTCCCTAAATCAGATCCTCAACAGTTGAACTGATCGTTTCATCATGCGACACAAACTGAGATGATGAAACAATCTCACCACAAGGTCCGTTTTCTTTTCTTTGTGCTTTCGATTATCAGTTCACTCAGTTGTCACTGAATTCTGAGCACTTCAAGGACTCCTCGTCCCTGTTGGCTTAAAAGTTGAGCCTTACAATCTCCCTCTGCTCAAAAATGTGTCTTATTTATTGTTGTCAGTCCGTTCTGTGCAGAGTTTGTTTTTGTGTATCATGTTGTATTTTAATATGTGTGATTTTGTACAGATATTTAAGACATTTAAGTGCATCTCACTGTGAATAACTCATTATAATGGCTAGTTAACAGATAACTAAAATAAAATGGATTTGTTCCAGTCTTTTCTTTTGTTTAGGACATGTGCAGTGGGAGGGGCTCATTGTTTGTCATCATTGGCCTCAGGGCGTGTCCGTCCAGATGCTCCTGATGACCCCTAAGCTCTCAGCAGGAGGGTGCACGTGCCCGGCTCTTTGCACACTATTAATGAGTGAACACTCTCATATGATAGGCGAAGGTTTCAAATCTGATCTATATTTGTAATATAACTGTAAATTCATACAGGAATTAAGTGAAATCAACTAATCTTTTCTCATTAACTTAACATAAATTTAAAGGTTTATTTATTTCAAGTTAATTAAACTTAAAATTTCCTATTTTTATTGAGACCACATTAAATTAAGTTTCTAAACACATGATCATGTCTTTATTAGCAGATAGCTTGGCATCGTTCGAGAGTTAAAACTCCATTGAGACTGTTAACATATGGAAAACATATGGAGCTGTGTGTCACTAATACACTTTAAGATTTAAGTTGTGGTTGTTTCACAATAATGAAAACACTGTGAACCATGATGAATGTTAGCATTTAATTCAGTCTCTATACAGTGCCTGCTTATACTTGCAGTTACAGTCACATATTGTCTGTGCTCCAGTGCTGGAACAAAGTCTACAGCAGCATTATTTATATTTGTGTGGAATGAAGAAGTGATGAATCATATTTGTTTGCAATGTTTGTCTGTATGACTGAACATTTGTTGGCTCAAATTAATATCTAATTAAACACGTTTTCTCAAGTTCAGTTAACTTAACTCAGTTGGTTTTACAACAAAAATAAATAAAAACAGATTTTTCAACCTAAGTTAACTCACCTGCCTGAATTGGACTAAAAAAGGTGACAGTACCCTGATTGAGCACGACCCAAACCACTAACTTTTGTACTTTTTGGCATTTCTCAGCATTTAGCTAGCTAAGTATTTACACAGTTACACGAGCATTACTTTTTTGCCACCCGACTCTACTCCATCACACTCCTCATACTGAAACCAACAAAGGTAACAAAAACTGGCCAATCAGAGGCAGAATACGGCGGCAGGATCAAGCTTTACATGGGTGTTTAGGGGTGCGTACCTGGACTCACCAGGAGTTACGCAATAAGAAGTAAGGGTACTCATGTGGACAAAAACCAGATGTGCTGTGAACTCAGTACCTGTGAGTACTGGCCCACTTGTAATGCAGCAAATGAACTTATATTTTTTAACCAGCTGATTATTGGATAGGCTGCT